ATCGGAAGACCTTCCCCACATCAAGACGTCCCAACACTACTGAGAGCCACGTTTATCACATAGCTTCAGAGAACTGGAGCAAAAGAAAAATGAACATGCAAAAACACCCCTACCTACAGCCCCATCCTGACAGCTTTGGGAAAGCAGTATCATTTGAACATGAGATATAATGCAAGTTGACCAAAGAAAAGGGAAGATTTCTGTGTAAAGAACAGCTGCCTAAACCGGAAGCACCCTATTTGAATAAGAGGGATTTATGCTTCCATGGCTTCTTCGTGCCATAAGGAACCAGTAAGAACGGGCCAATTCCTCAGGGACCAGAGCCAGACAGGAACACAGCAGAAAAGCAATGGTTAGAGGCAAAATGGTGGGGTCTCCACCGGCTCTCTCCTGGATTGAAAGGGTTGGCTGGGCAGGTAACACGGCCGTCTTATAAACCGGTGAACTCCCAAACTGGAGATCTGACACCACCAAGCCGTCACAAACCAGAGAGCTCCTTAAGGCAGGGGTTGAGGGGTGGGGGGCTGAAATCCACCTTTCTAAAAGCCAAGAATGAGTGAAAGAGACTGAGGTTCCCAAACCTGGAAGCTCATGAAGCACGTAGGAAAGCCAGTGAAGATCCTCCCTTTGATTTGACAAGATCCATTTTGCAGGCACCTGTTCCTTCCTCCGGCTGATGTTTAACATTACGATCCCAAAGGCCTTTAACAAGCTGTATACGTGCACCCTCGCTGAAATGCAGCACATTTCTGGGATGGATGCGATTTCACATTACGAACCTCGCTGAAACGCAGCGACTTGTGGGATGCGTGCTATTGAATGTGACGATCCCAAAGGCCTTTAACAAGATGTATCCGCGCGCCCTCGCCGAAACGTGGTCAACATCACGATCCCCGAAGCCCCCGCGAGCTGCGACTGCAGGGCTGGCACCGCGGCGACAAGCACGGCAGGCGCGACCGGACCCCGGCGCTCGCATTTTTACCGTCACGACTCTGCCGCGGACGCGCCCGCCGAACGCGCCGCGACCCCTCCCCGTCCCGGTTTCGCGGGGGGGG